GTGAGGACCTGGCCCTCGCGCCCTCTGGGGCTAGCGTTATGGGGGGCTGCGGGCCTGATTGGGGTGGCGGAGGTCGTCGCTGACCCGGAAGAAGCTTGGCTCGCCCGAAAGAGGGGAGGATTAATGACAAAGACGGCCCCGTCCGTTCCCATTCAATCCAGTCCTCTGAGACGCGCCGGGTCTGAAAGGGACGAAAGGGGGAAGGAGTGTGTGTGTGCGTGCGTGTGCGTTGTGCGTGTGCGTGTGTGTGTAGGTGTGCAGGGAGCGGGGACGCCAGCGACGAAACGCGTGCAGACTCACCCTCAATAGATTTCTTAGAAACTAAAAACAGAGGTGCGGCGAGGAGCAAGGGGCGTAGGCACGAGCCATAGCTGTTCTTTTCGGTAAGGCAGTCGCATTTTAAGGTGGCAGCGCCTTTTTTGTGCGGAGCCCGGGTGCTGCCGAGGTCTGTGTCCGCGCGCGGCCGCCGGAGCGCCCAGGGCACAGCGCACGCAGCGTGCGGGGTGCTGTGCTCCAGAAGCCGCCGTGCGCCCACACCGTGGTCTGCGGGCAGCTGTGCCGCCTGAGTCACGGACACCGAGATGGAAAACACCTGTTCCTGTCGGTCAGCAGGCTTGGCGCGCAGCGGGTCTAGTTTCCATTTCCCGGACAGCTCCGCGCCCCTCCGCAGGAGGCCATTTCTTCCTTCCTTCATTCTCAGGTCAGCCCCGCATGTTGGCCGACTGCAGGGATTTGTTGAGACCCAGCGGCAGACGAAGATAGGCCAGTGACTGCCCTGCTCTCAAGTTAACTCCCAGTCTCCTGGGGAGGGGGACCCCGCCCACCCTTAGAGTCACTCCCCCAGATAAAGGTGGGTAAATATTACCAGGGAAGGGCAGAAGGTGCCAAGCAGCGCGGAGGAGGGGAGAGAGGTGGCTCTTTAAGCAGTGGTGGATCTGCAGACTTTATGGAGGAATGGCATTGGAGGGCTCTGAAGGGTGGGGAGTAGAACTTGGGCATGAGGAAACAGAAGGAAGTGACATATCAGCCAGAGTGAGAAAATAGAGCAGAAATCATGATGCTTGAAATCTCGAGTGTGTTGAGGGCAGTGGTGGCCTACACAGAAGTAGTGAGAAATGATTGGGTTAAATTATGGAGGCATTTGGATGAAGAGCGTGGATTTTATTTTGTAAGCAATGGAGAAGCCTGACTTTTTTTTTTTTTTTTTTTAGCACTTCCCCACTTCTTTATGGTGAATATATATATATATGGCAGTGGTTTTCAAAGCATGGTGTCCACACCTGCAGCATCAGTGTCACCTGAAAATCTGTAAGAAATGTACATTCTAGGGTCGTGCTCCAGCTCTATTTAAAATCTGAAACTCTAGGGCGGGGTCCAGCGCCTGTCCTTTCACAACCCTCTGGTTGGTTCAGATGCACACACAAGTTTGAGAACCCCTGCTCCAAAACCTTACTACTCAGAGGGTAGGCCTTGGGCAAGTAGAATCAGCACCACCCAGGAGCCTGTTAGCGATGCAGAATCTATAAAAACCCAGACCTACTGACCCAGAATCTGCATTTTAACAAGATCACCAGGTGATGCCTATGCCTATTTGAGTGTGAGAAGCACCGCTCTAAAGGATTTGCCAAGTAGAGAAGCAGATAAAACCCCCAACCCTACACTGTCACTCATATATATTCGTTGTTAATATTTTGATGTAATCCCTACGGGTTGCTTTCTATACATCTATATTTGTACCAAGTCCTCTTTTAACAAACATGAATGGTATGAGACAATATATACAATGATCTGCTCTTTATTACCTTACATTATATGTGATCAGTCTTTTAAAGCCTCATTTTAATGACTTTATAATATTCATTTTATGTCTGTATCAGTGTACTTAACCATTTTCCAATTATTTGCTATCATATTGAATACTGTGATGATAAAAAATAATAGATTTCCACATAGTGCTTACTTTGTGCCAGGCACTAGGTTAAGCACTTTACATATAGTAATACATGTAATTATCATAACAACCCAGTGAAATAGGCACTATTATTATCCCAATTTTTAAATATAAATATTTTTTCATTGATTTCAGAGAGAGGAAGGGAGTGGGAGATAGAAGCATCAATGTTGAGAGAGAATCATTGATCAACTGCCTCTCGCACGCCCCCTAGTGGGGGATCAAGCCTGAAACCCAGGTATGTGCCCTGACTGGGAATAGAATTAGTAGTGACTTCTTGGTACATGGGTCCGCCCTCAACCACCTAGCCACACCATTTTCAATAGCAGCTCACAGAAACTTGCCCAAGGTCACACTGCTAATAAGTAGTGGAGCTGGGATTTAAATTGAAGCAACCTGCTTTCAGAATCTATACCCTTAATTATATTTATACTTAAGTTTTTGTCGTAATTTATTTTTCCTTACAAGAAATTCTGATGTCAATTTCTAAAAAAATGTCTTGAAACATATTGTCAGTTTCCCTTTCAGAAAGGTTGTAGTAAGTTGTGCTTCCACCAGCAGTGTACTAGTTTCACAACATCCTTGCCAACATTGAGAGTTAAACTTAAAAAAATTTTTTTTTCTAACCTAATAAATGACAATTCTATATTGAATGAACTAGGATCTCTTTAATTATAAGATTGGACATTTTTCATACACGTAATTGCCATTTATAGAGTACTGAGGGCCTTTTGACACAATCTTACTGTACTAAATGATACCTTATATGTTACAGGACATTTCTTCAACATCTTCAATCTCATTTAATCCTTGCCTTAGCCTCAGAGGAGGAAATGATTCTCTACTCACACAGCGGTTTCTGGCCAGTGAGGTATCGTAGTTCAGTGGTTAAGAGGCTTTGGGCTCAGATAGGTGTGGGCTGGAATTCTGTCTTTGCTGCTTCCTGGGCAAGTTATTCAACTTATGAAAACTTCAAATTTCCTCATTCATTAAATGGAGATACTACTTACTTCATAGAATTCTTGTGAAGCACACTGTGAGTGCTGAATAGATGGTAAGTTTAATCATTACTCATTAAATCCTGTCGTTATTGGATCCCATAAAAATGTTATGGCAGCCCTGGTTGGTGTTGCTCAGTAGGTTGGAGTGTCATCCATGTACAGAAGGGTCATGGCTTAGATTCCCAGTCAGGGCATATACCTAGGTTTCAGGTTCTAACCCTGGTTGGGGCACATATGGGAGGCAATCATTGATGTTTCTCCACATAGATGTTTGTCTCTCTCCCTCTCTTTCCCCTCCCCCCCTCCCCCCCCGCAAAAAAAATCAATTAAAAAACACACACCTATACTCCTGGTGAAGAGTCAAAAAAGTTATGGCAGACATATCTGCCATCCCCTGGCCTTTTTTGTTTTAAGGTATTGTATCAGGTAGAAGAAAGAGAAGACACTGGGGGTTGGGTGCTCTGAGTTTTTATCATTAACTTCCTGCTCAGGTAGGAAAAGCTACTGAAGGCAAATATTGGGCGAAGATCCAGGCATGGGATTTGGCTACTGTCCAAAATAAGATGTGGGTAATGACAACCATAACTGTTTAAAGGTGAGAAATACTGATGTGCCAAGTTACCTTTTGATTTCCTGTTCCGTCCTGGCTTAATAGTACAGTAGCTTGTGCTCAGATTTTGGGCTTGAGGACAGGGCTGCAAGAGACATGTAATCCACGTGGTACTCAACTGTGTATGAAACAGAGCTCAACATGAGAGCTTAATACTAGCTTGGATGAAGGAGAGCTTGAGTGAGGGAGGGAGGGAATATTATGGGCGGCGGGATGCAGGGAGAGCAGACTTACTATGCCCATCTGTCCCGCTCAGCAGAGCTGTGTGGGTATGTCTAGAACTGTTTTGTTTACTTGTTTTTAGTATGTTTGTCTCTGTCTAAGCCACTCATTGGTAAATTTGTGCTGGTTTCTCAGAAATTTTCTCCCTTCAAATGTAATTAAAGAGGTGCCAAAAAGAATTTCTCAAGTATCCTGTCATTAACTATTGACCATATGCAGACTACTATTTTTGGAAGTGAGCAAAGACTGAAATGACAGACAATTTGGGCATGGATTTAGGATTCAGAAACTCTGTGCTTCTCAAACTTGAACAGGCGTATGAATCCCAATCTTATTAATGCAATTTCCCGATTCCATTCATGTAGGATGGGTCCAAAGTTGTGCATTTCTAACAAACTACCAGGTGATGCTGATCCTGCTGGTCCATGGCCCACATTTTGAAGAGCAAGTATTTAGATCAGGGGTGGGGAACCTCTTTTCTGCCAAGGGCCAATTGGATACTTTATTTGCTTAATGTAATTCACTTCACGGGGAACCTCTTTTCTGCCAAGGGCCAATTGGATACTTATAACATTATTTGCTTAATGTAATTCACTTCATATAAATTTATGTTGCTATGAATAAAGCTCCTAGCCTGGCTGGCATGGTTCAATGGTTGAGCATCGACCTAGGAACCAGGAGGTTGCGGTTTGATTCCCGGTTGGGGCACATACCCAGGTTGCCAGCTAGATCCCCAATGTGAGTTATGCGGGAGGAAGCTAATCAGTGGTTCTCCCTCATCATTGATGTTTCTATCTCTGAAATCAATAAAAATATGATTTTTTTAAAAGCTCCTAGATTTATTGAATTTTGGGTCCTGCCTGCGGTTGCCTGGGCAGGGCCAGACCAAATGATTTTGTGGGCCTTATATGGCCCCAAGGGCCAGACATTCTCTACCCCTGATTTAGATGAAAGAAATTCCATCTCTCCCCTTATCTCCTGGCCTTTGCCTCCCCCCAGAGAGGACATTTGGTCAGATTCCCGGAAATTAATCTGTCCACGTTCAAAGGGCAGGGGTATGAACCTGCACTTTATGCAGCAGGAATAGGTATGCTAAGCCAGGTCCTCCTCTTGGGAGTTGGCCATCTTGTTTTCTCTTCTTCAAATGTATCGCCAAGCATACTTTTTATTGCTTCCATTTCCGGTTCAAATGTGGCAGGACAGAGGGCAGGAAGACTCTGATATGTGGGGGGAAGGGGAGGCTCGTGTGGGTCTTTACTGTAGGCTACTTGCTCCAAGGTTGTATTTACAAGATAATTCTGCATTTAAAAATTGGGCATCTATTCAGATGAAAATAAAGTAGTATTTCGATGTCTTATCCATTGATGGCTCTTGAATGTATTGCTTGCGTGTGAACCTCATGGAGGAGAAGGATTATATTTTATTGATTTTTTAAAGAGAGGAAGGGAGAGAGATAGAGAGTTAGAAACATCGATGAGAGAGAAACATCGATCAGCTGCCTCCTGCACATCTCCCACTGGGGACGTGCCCGCAACCCAGGTACATGCCCTTGACCGGAATCGAACCTGGGACCTTTCAGTCCGCAGGCCGACGCTCTATCCACTGAGCCAAACCGGTTTCAGCTCTTATTTTCTAATATGAGCATTTAATGCTATAAATTTCCCTCTAATTTTTCCTTTTGCTGCATCCCACAAATTTTGATGTTATAGTTTCAGTTCAAAAAATTTTGTTTTCAGTTCAAAATATTTTTAAACTTCTCTTGAGGCTTTAATTTCCAGATATCTGAGGGTTGGTGTTTTTTTTTTTGTTATTTCTAGTTTAATTTCATTGTGTCTAAGAACATACTTTGTGTGATTTCTAATCTTTTATGCCTGTTAAAGTATGTTTTATGGCCCAGAATGTGGTCAACAGTGGTGAATGTGGGTTAGAGAAGAATGTGTATTTTACTGTTGTTCTGGTGGTAAAGCAAGAGGAAGTGTAAGAGTTCCGTAATCTTCCAATTAAGTCTCAGCCTGTGCCCTTCACAAGGGTTCTCCAAGGTGTAGCTTTTCCTCCTTGCAACCTACTCCCTTTCCTAGCTGCAGAGTTCCCAATCTTCCGATAAGCCAGGGGTGGGAAACCTTTTTTCTGCCAAGGGCTATTTGGATATTTATAACATCATCCGCTTAATATAATCCACTTAATATAAATTTATGTTGCTATGAATAAAGCTCCTAGCCTGGCTGGCATGGTTCAATGGTTGAGCATCGACCTAGGAACCAGGAGGTTGCGGTTTGATTCCCGGTTGGGGCACATACCCAGGTTGCCAGCTAGATCCCCAATGTGAGTTATGCGGGAGGAAGCTAATCAGTGGTTCTCCCTCATCATTGATGTTTCTATCTCTGAAATCAATAAAAATATGATTTTTTTAAAAGCTCCTAGATTTATTGAATTTTGGGTCCTGCCTGCGGTTGCCTGGGCAGGCCCAGACCAAATGATTTTGTGGGCCTTATATGGCCCCAAGGGCCAGACATTCTCTACCCCTGATTTAGATGAAAGAAATTCCATCTCTCCCCTTATCTCCTGGCCTTTGCCTCCCCCCAGAGAGGACATTTGGTCAGATTCCCGGAAATTAATCTGTCCACGTTCAAAGGGCAGGGGTATGAACCTGCACTTTATGCAGCAGGAATAGGTATGCTAAGCCAGGTCCTCCTCTTGGGAGTTGGCCATCTTGTTTTCTCTTCTTCAAATGTATCGCCAAGCATACTTTTTATTGCTTCCATTTCCAGTTCAAATGTGGCAGGACAGAGGGCAGGAAGACTCTGATATGTGGGGGGAAGGGGAGGCTCGTGTGGGTCTTTACTGTAAGCTACTTGCTCCAAGGTTGTATTTACAAGATAACTCTGCATTTAAAAATTGGGCATCTATTCAGATGAAAATAAAGTAGTATTTCGATGTCTTATCCATTGATGGCTCTTGAATGTATTGCTTGCGTATGAACCTCATGGAGGAGAAGGATGATTGAGCCAGAGTAGGTTTCTAGACTCATGGCCTTTGGCCCAATGTCACCAAAACCTCTCCCTTCATTCATCATGGGCAAGCACTGGCTACAGCCCAATTAATCCATCCTATGGACAATCATACCACTAAGGGAATAACTCATTACTGCCGAGACATCCTTGGAGATTTCTTAGAGAAGATGTATGTGGAGCTATTTTGATGGAAAGAACTTGGTGTAGTACACAGCAGAAGGCACAGCATTCCTGCTGGCTTTATGGGTCTCAGACTCTGTCTGCCCTGGGTTCTGACCTTGTTTCTGCTTCTCTGAGTCTCTGCCTTTCTCAATGTCAGCTGGTCTTAGAAGACTGAAGCCCCCTTCCTTTCCAAAGTCACTGTGGAGCTTGCATGCCTCCTAAACAGATGGCATGTGCTGCTTTTTCTCTTCCTTCAGTTCAGTTTCTTCAACATATGAAAGACATATATTTGAATCTCTTTATATTAATCTAAACTGTTCAGGATTTGGTCACATGCCAACCAAAACAAAGCTATTCTGAGGATGTTTTTCTATTGCATTCAACTTCACAATTTACCTTAGAAAATTACAGAATTTCCATCACCAGTTTTTATCTCTATTCAATTTTCAATCATCCTTCTTTGAAAAAGTGGAAGATTTTTAACTGTTTCATGCCCAGATGTAGCATTAGCCATATGAGGCTAATGTGAGATTCATATTTTCATTCATCTTACCCCTCACTCCTATCCCAACAACAAATTTCTCTATAATTCCAGAGTCCAGCTCAGTCTGGCCTTATTTAGGAAAATAAGTTGTCTCTACTTATCCCTATTCTCCTATTACTCAATCGACTCAGCACCCCCCAACCTTCCCATCTCTAATATCAATTGTAGCCCTCCATGAGGGCTATGGTGTCAGTTATTTGGATCTGTTGGCATTCCTTCCCTAGGGGGTTCTTCCTTTCCCAATTCATGTGGTCCTGGTGGAGCTGTCAATCATGGTGTCTGAGCCCCAGTCCCATACTTGCTAGCATTATTTCAGTCTTGGCCAATCATATTATTCCATCTCCCTACCCCACAGTGATTGGTTCAGAGAGGGGCACATGACCTAAGTAGAGATTGATGAGAAATTTCCATGAGATTTACATATGGACATTGGGAGAGAAAAATTCCTTAAGTTGGGAGGGTTTGAGGTGAGGACTAACAATGACTGTCTTGCTTACCACCTGGAGAAGGCCTATCTGAAAAATGAAACCGAACAGAGGCAGAGAGGATATGAGGGAGAGATTGAACTCTGGTAGCATCATGTAAGTTCTTAGATCCAATAGGTTTTAATGCTAGCTACACCTTCAGACTGCCCAATATGTGAATTAGTGAATTTCTTTTTATGTTTTATCTAGTTTCAGTTATCATTTACAACGGGAAAACTATTGACTTATATAATCCTTCTCAGGTATTTACCCTCTTTGCCTTCCACCTGCTGCCACCTTGGTTTGACTGTTACATGTGGCTGGTAATTATAGCCATGTTCCCCTTGCCTAGCAAACATTCATTTTTCAATTTCTTTTACACATTAAAAAATAGTTTACTTGCTATGACTGGGTTGTTCAGTTGGTTGGAGCATCCTCCTGTATACCAAAAGGTTGCAGGTTCAATTCCAGGTCAGGGCACATACCTAGGTTGTGGGTTGATCCCCCCATATCTATCTATCTATCTATCTATCTATCTCTCTATCTACCTTTCTCTCTCTATCTCTACCTTTATCTCTTTTCATCTCTCTAAAAACCAATAACACATATCCTTGGGTGAGAATTAAAAAATAATTTACTTACTAATTTATTCTTAACTTTGTATTATGGAAAATTTTAAACAGACACAAAAGAAAGAATCCTATATAATAAAAGCCTAATATGCTAAGTGTCCAGTCATCTGGTCATCCATTCAACCAATCAAAGGGTAATATGTTAATGTTATGCTAAGGCCACTCAACTGCCCGCTGTGACATGCACTG